CCCCCCCCCCCCCCCCCCCCCATCTTTTTCGGGGGTTAGATTTCAGAAAAGCAGGGTTTTTTTAACTGGGGGAAATGGGTGCATTGATTGCGTGAGCTTTGCATTCGGTTCTCATTAAAGTCAAGAACGGGATTGTTTTGGGGAGGGGGGGTTTAAAGTATAATATTATATCCTAATTTTGAAAAAGGAAAAAATTATTATATAATTCCCTATGCTTGGTAATGTAATATGAATCCCGATGATGGAATTGGCACGATTTGAAACCATAGTGTGGGGTCTGTAATACATTTTCTAAATTACCATCTCCTGTTGTAAGCTTTAAAAAAAACGATGTTCCCCCAAGTAAGTCCAAAATAGGCTGTTAATGTAAGAAAAGCTTTGCCAACCTTCTGGATAATGTTTCAGGAAACAAAAGCCTTATTCATGTTATTGGCAGCGGCAAAAGGGATTACGGGGATAATATTTTTATTCGTGGGGAGGAATTCTAAAGACATATTCGTACATTTAATCCATTTTTTGTGTGCACGTGTTTCGAAGCACATGATATGATTCAAAAAGTCGCCTCTCCTTTTTTAAAAATAGAAATAATAGCCCATAAAAAGATCCTGCGGAGGTTCTCTTCAACAGAATTGTAATATGCATGTCATTCTGGTGTATATTGTAAAAACATTTGAAGTGCATTGGGTGTTCTTTTTATGGAGTATCTAATTTCCTATTGTTAAACAAGATTAAGTTCTAATCACTGATCTAGAAGATACAGGCCGTTGTTGTTTGTACTTTTTTCTGCCTTCCAAATTATTTCCGAAGATCCCCTCATTCAGTTGTCTTTGGGTTGTTGTTTTTTTCGGGGGGGGGTGTTGGGTTTTGTTGGGGGTTGGGGTTTTTTAGGTGGGGGATCTTTTTTCAAGAAAAGAAGCTTAACGAAAAATTCTAGTTTCTCTTTTGATTAGCTTCTTGGACTTGGCTATGGCCGTTCGGCGTTCACATCCTGTTTGAACTATGCTGTCAGAATAAAAACATAAAATCTTTCGCTTCCGGTCCCGTAGAGTCGAAGGTGGGCGTACTCCAGAAGTTATTCCTCTCTGGAAAACCTGAATGTTGTTACACGTTGCGTAAAACTCAGACGCAAATGAAATCAAACAGGACGAGTGCCAGGGGCACTATCATAATTCAGTAGAATGATGTAAGGGCGGGAGCCTCTGACAAACAACGCCTGTCTGTTCCGATGCCCGTAAGGGGGCCTCTGATTTCACAACATGACTCCCGACTGGGATTAGGACGACCAAAATAGCGCCCGTTGATTGTATCCCGGCCACAGTTTGTTAGTTTAGAGAAGCACTCGGTTTCTTCGGCTTTTTTTTCAGTGTAGCTCGTTGTTGTAGTCTTAGCTGGCATCCTACAACTGTTGTTACATTCTGAGTGCTACATTTGTATCAGCTGACATTGCTTTCAGTCAGTGCCAGGCTCTGTAGGGTCCTTGTACTGGCGTGAGCACACAATGCCCGAATTTTCTATATTTCTAAAAAAAAAAATTAAAAATTCTTTTAAGGTGAGGGATTGACTTGCCTTTTGTGATGCCATTCGATATTAAAATGTCATTGAACGAAAGTTTGTTTCCTCTGAGATCTTGACGCTAAACTACCCTTTCCATTTCGTTAACTGCGCATAAAAGGTACTGTCTAACTCCCGATACGTTGCAACGAGTATTGTGTAATGTACATTATTTCTAATGTAGAAGATCTGCATGTGTTTGTCCCTAAACTAAACGAGCAGGATGGAAAGAAAAAAAGGGAGGGGGGGCATGTTTTGCTCTGGAGTACACGATCGATAGAGGCCGTCATAGTCCTCTTGTGCGTTTACGTTGAATAGTACAAATTACCCACCCGTCAGTTCTGCGGCACCACGGTATGAGTCCGTGTGGATTGTTTACAAAATGTAACACCTTTAGATCCCCCCTCAAGGCCCCCATATTTTCGTGTAGATCTAGTTGATTTATATTGTAAAAACATCGTACGCTTAGGACTAGTGCGGGTTTTCTTTTCAAAACATGATCCATTTTATTTACTATAAGATTCAAAAGACCAGGCTTTCCTTAAGTTTTCTCACGCGGTGTAGACTTTGGTTCCGTGATTACTTGTCTACAAGCCTAAGATTAAGAAGCTCCCCCCTCCCCC